AAAATCCCCCATCCAACATTACAAAAGACTTGCATACTACCTTATTTTTAGACCCTCGTACTTTTCTGCCACTATATTGAACGACTACTACCCAAGAAGCAGAGAAATTGCTATATATTACTCAAATTGTACTACAAATAGATAAAATAAATTATTTGGGTACTTACTATGTTTTTGAAACTCTCATGCAACTGGTCCTCAGCAAAAATATGAAACTGGAGAGGTCTGATGCTGAAAATAATGGCTGATCTCAACATAGTAACAGTCTCCTCCAGTCTCTCACCACAGGCAACCACTGCTAGATGCATTTTCTCAGACGGATGTGTTTTCATATAATCATATCTGATACAAAAATATTTTTTCATTTGACATTATTTCTAGCACAGTCTTAAAGAAAAGCTCTACTATTTACTGCAGCATGTAATTTCACAAAATATCCTTTATCGTATTTAAACCAGCAAAGGATAACTCAAACAGAACATACAAAGTACAGCACTACACCTCATAATGTAGGCTTGCTATTGTCATATTCACTCCCATCATCCCAGCTTAGGAGAGAGAAACAAGGCATGGAACAGCTATACAGAAAATAAACAAACAAACGTTTATTTTCTTAGTAATCTTACTATCCATTACTAGCAAGGAATTCCATCAAAATTGCTATGTTAAAAGAAAGATCAAATGAAGTTACATCGAGATGTGAAAGGCTGACAGCACATTAAGTCTTCACATGGGTTCATTTTCTCCTCTTTCCATAAACTCAGTACAGAGACAGGTAATCATGATAAATATAGCAGAGTTAAATTCAACAACAAAAGTGAGATAAACCCTACTTTTAAGAAGTTAAGAACATTTTTGAGTGATCTAGGCGTTTTGTCCATTTTCTGCTCCAGTAAGTCCTTTTGTCAAATCCATGCTTCAGGCTTCTCCTAAGCACTGGCAAAACGCAAAAAGCTTTCTCCTCCCATCATGCAGGTGCATGACTTGCTTTGGAGGGGTGGGAAACTAACAGCTCAAATGACTGGGTGGGATGTCCTGGAAAATCCCTCAGGTACACTGACCACATGCACTGCCCATGTCCTTGGGGCTAAACCTCTGCAAGTCGTGGGGACTGGGACATCACTTCTCCCTGATGACAGCTCTCTGACAGTTATAATGAGAAGTGCCTGGTATGTATTATACAAGGTACATTTGAAAGTTATTTCACTATTTTAATACAATAAGCTAAAATTATCATTGAGTAAATATCATTAGCTTGGTGGCAAATACAGTGGGCATACTAAACATAAAACCACATTCTCCTGGATTTCGTATATTTAATTATTCAGAAAAGCTTTCAAATGTTTTAAACATATGTCAACTCAAAGTCAATCTTCGAAACAATATTCTGTGCTTGAGCTATTTGCACGGACTACTGGAGAGAAGGGGGGGCTAATTGAACTAGGAGAATCTGAAGGTTTAAATTACAATTTAATTCCAAGTTATGCAGACAAAAAAAAATTCTGAAGTGAGAAAATACTTTCCCAAACTAGTAACAGTAGATAAATGCTTGGCAAACATACCACCCATTCTTAGAAATTTGCCAAATAGAGAGACATTTCAAAATAGAAATTAACAGATGTGATTCTTAGCACATAAACTCCACCCAATTTGACTAAAACATTTAGACGCATACAAGTTTTTCTTTAAATTGATGAAAGATACTATGCAAATGTGCCTTTTTAAGGCATGAAGAGCAAGACACATTATTTTCAGTTCCATGAGGCAAAAATATAACCAAAGATATCACTGTAAAACTGCTGAAGTTTAATGCCATAAATAATGGCTGCATTTAAAAAAAACATTGAGTTTTGGAAGAGTTTAATGCCCTGGAACTAAAAAAGTCCAGCATCCTAGAGATGTAAGATTAATAAAATTTTAATTAGAACATACAGTCAGTCTTAAGGTTTGGGGCATTATTAAAAATAATATGGATAAAAGACCTCATAGGTAGGATTCAGATCCAAAATTAGACACCTATATGAAGATACTGACATATGACATCGTGTCCAAAGTCTCATTAAAGCCAATGGAGATGTAGTGAGCAGGATATGGAGTGCAGACAGCAATTCATCTTATTTCAAAGTAAATACCTTGGACTTGATTCAATTTTTTTAACATAAGCTCTAGAATATCCCACCTGACCTCCAGGTGCCAGTCCAAAAAGACTGGGTGTCTCAAAGATCATGTTGTACCTACTAGTCCTAAGGAGGCATCTAGGATACCCAGGTACATCTGAATTAACACCAGCCATTTACCTCTCAGCAACTTAATGGCTTGTCACTTGGACCACTCTCTACACGTTCTTTCAATTTTAATGACCGCTTAAGACCTACTTGACATAGACTCCTATATGCGGACATCTATATTCAGTTGATTTAATCCACAGACCGAAACCTTTTGTAAGTCTTGCAGCAAAACCTGAAAAATTAGTTCAAGTTAACAGGAAAAAAAATATAAAACCAGAGTCTTTAAATGTAACCAAAGCATGCCCATTCAGACCTTTATACACAAAGCTAATTTAAAAATTACACCATGTAGTAAGTAGCTAATGTAAAAAAACACAGAACAAGCTGAATGTGATGAGGGTAGCTGAAACCCACAAATAAGTACACTGCTGCAGTCTGAACAAGCTGCAAGAAGCAGATTAGCCTCATCACTAATCCACTGAAAAGGGAATTACAATAATTAAGCCCTGAAGTCATGAGAGCCTACAGTGATATTGCAAGGTCATGTGATAAATAAGGGCACAACCTCCACAAACTGCATAGCTGAAAGCCAAATTCCTGAACCACATGTAACACATGGCTTTCCATGAATAAGGTATGACGAAAATTATGCCAAAGCAACTCTAAAACACATTGAGATTCAAAGATTGTATTTTATTATTTCTCCATCTAGTGACATCTGTGAATAAAAGAATGTTTCAAGCCACACAGCAAAAACCAGACTGAACATATCATAATGCTTTTACAGTCACTTCATTCACACAATGTGTTCTATGAGTCTGACTTCATGAATTGCATTTTTTAATTTTGTGCTTAAAAATAATTTTTTAAAGGCAAAAAAATATTTAGAAGTGAATAACAACTGAATTTCAGCTTGCACAATATGGGGAACAGCTGGACTCAGATCCTTAAGTCCACAACACAAAGCTTTATCCCTGAAGCAGATGGAGCAAGAAGCCATTGGAAAGAACAGGCCACCATTCCCTCTGGGGACTATCCACTAAAAAGGGGATGAGACATATTAGGTCCCTGAGACATATGACAGCAGGAGAAGTTATGAGACTCCAGAATTGTGGTCCTTACTCCAGGACTCCATGAAGAAACATCTTTTAGTGATTATAAGGGGCATTTGACTTCTCTGCATACAGACCACTGGGAATCACAGCCTCCTTTTTAATAATCCAGCCTCAGTGCTGCTCCAATCCCTAGCTATGTGTCTCTGTCCAGTCCGAGAGAAATCATTGCCCCATCTTCCTCCAGGGACACTAACTACTTATACCTCTTGAGCTAATCCTCCGCTGCCAGCATCTTTCATCACTTTTTCCTTGTCCTCCCACTAGAAGCAGCATAAAGTTTAAGTTGTCCAGCAGAGCTTATCAGCTTGAGCTCGGCAGTCTCACCTTCAATATTAACATGCACCACACAGCGACAGTTACCCATGCAATGACTTGTTTCACTCCCTTCTTCAATATTATGACTTTGGTCCTTCCCCTAATTCCTTTCAAAATTATCCACCCTCAACTGCTCCCTTCTCTAGTTCTCCTTCCTGAATTTTCCAGCCTCTGTAACCTTTTTCTCATCTTCCCTCCATTGCTCTCCACTGCAGTTAGTCATACAACTACCTCACCAGAAGAGAGGGAAAGGAAAACCTTGCTCATTTAGACAGCCCTAGTTTTAGCACAACCTAATGACACAAGCTTATTCAGCAGTACAGATTTTTTAGCAGTTCAGTAGCAGAGTGGACTATGATCAAAATAAAATGTATTTTACAAGAACGGTAACTTGTCAGAACCTGAGCAAGTTTGGTATCAGAGTATCACAGGTCTGGTATCAGAGCAATACCCTTACTGAACCTCAAATCCAGGTTCTGAAAGCATTAAGACACTTTCAAAAGTCAGCAGGTACTTTCAAATAAATGTTCAGAGGAAGCATGGAAAGCACAAAAATACAAATGCAGACGTTTATATGCACATTTCTAATTACCAGGAGCCTGATGTTTTGGTGTGGGAAGCTGCGAAAAGCAACAATAGAGTAAAATACAAATGGCATACTTTAGTAAGGCTTTTGGATAGACTAACAAGGAAAACTTGAGATCCCTCATTTCTAAAGAAAAAAAAAAAACCCTCCAATAATGTGGGAGTCCTAGCTCCTGTGGGGGGAAAAAAACTCTCTGGTAATTAAAATGGAAGAGCAAAGAATGCACCTGTAGTCCAATAGAAGATACTGAGCAGGAAGCCATGACAGGATTTAAGTGTTGAGGGACAAATAAGAGAACTTCATTTGCCTGAGGACACTAATTACACGAGTGGTAGGGACAGTAAAAATAAATGAAATAAATCACCTGAGTGAGAGCACCACACATACTCCCATGAGTTTAGAAAACACATTAAAAACAGTCCACTTTGACACTATGAGAGCAAAAGCCATATAATTTAAAACATGCAGCCCACCAGCAGCGTAAGGCCAGATACACGCCTTGCCCTCAAGTAGTTCTGTGCTAAGTGCAGACCTTCATTCTGTTCTGATTAATTCTGCTGTGGGGTTAATAACCTCTGACAGAGGAACATGGCTGGATATGCTCAATGAATCTCTCATGAGAAGATTTTCCAAAGCCTGTCTGTCAAGACACTGCCTTATGTTTAAAGATGTATACAATGACACTTTATATATTAAATCAGCCTTTCTAGGTCAATTAAAATTATGAGGTACAGTTAGTAAGCTACAGAGGTACAGTTGTTAGTAAGCTACAGAGGTATGTTTTGACGGGTTGTACTCTTCTAGAACCTTCACTGCATACTAGCTGAACTTCTTGGAAAAAACCCAAACCTCAAAAGGCATCATCGCTAAAACTCACCAGGCTCCATGAAAATCTTAGCTCTGCCCTCTGGACTTGGCACAAGGTACTCCTGCATACCTTGAAGGTAGGGTTCTCCTATTCTTATTTTTATCCAACACATTAAAAGCACAGGCGAGAGGGTACCAAACCCTTAGGAACACTCAGACAGCCATAAGGAATCCTGTATACAACTCCATCTAATTTGAGATCATTAAGCCTGTCCCAATCCCAGCCTGCTT